CCCCAAAACCCCAAAACCCCAAAACCCCAAAACCCCACTTTTCCTTCCCAAATTTGAAGAAATTTAAATAATTTAAATCCTAAAAAGTGAGCAATATGAGTACTCACGAGAACACAGGAGAGAGCTCTCTCAATGATAACACCCTAACTGACGAACTTCTCAGTAGAGTTGCAGAGCTGGAGACAAAGTTTAGAGACCAATTTGACCATAATCCTCTTCAGAAAAATGTCTATGAGATTGTTTCTGATCAAACAAAAGGCGATAATATTGACCCATACATGCTTTGCGCCATTTTCACAGATTTTGCAGAATCCTTCCTTGAAAAGGCCTTTGATACAACCCAGACCATTCAGCAAAATGATAAGATGAGTAAAGAACTGTACAAGGCAAATGACCTGATTCGTCGTTTGACTGATGAAAACGAGTATCATCTGGGCAAGCTCAAGTCTCTTGGAAAACAGCTGGAACTCTACAAGGAAAGCTGGAGAGGAAAGATGACTGAACAATCAGTTGAAAGACAGATCTCAGACCTCCTCAAGCAGAAAGATGAGGAGGTAGAAGACCTCAAACTCCAACTGACTAGCGTTGAACAAGATTTTGCGCAATTCAGAGTCGAGGCTAAGAATAGCATTGAAAATATGCCAGGAATTGAAAACACACCAGCTAAGACATTTGTTAATGAAGAGAGCGAGCCAAAGCAATTTAGTGAACTGAAAGGTAACGATCCTTCAAAGTACAGAATTCCTAAATCAATGAACTTCGATCAGATTTATAATGAACTCACTTGAATGGATCATAAGACGCTTCTCGATCATTGAATGGACCTAAAAGTAAAAAGCTTTAATCAGAATAAGCCTCAAGAGAGATCTAAAAGCCGTTCTTCAAGTGCTGTGAGGAGCTCACAGCCCTGTTGAGTCCATAAGACTCTAATGCAGACTGAAAAGAACACTGAAAATCTTGAGAAGAGGTATAAAAGGATTAAAAAGCTTGCTGATGAACTTATCACTCAAAATGAAATCTACCAAAAAGATATAGGCCGCTCAGAAAGGATGATCGAAAGCTTAGAAGGAAGATTCAACGACCTAGTAGAAGACTTCCAGAAGTACATCAATGAAAAAGATAGAGAATTGGCTATCAAAGATGATGAGATCAGGAAGAGCAAGCAAACTCAGCATGAAGAAAGCGAAGAGAACTTCAATTCTCTCAATGTTGACCCAGAAGAACGCAACAAGGCTCTAGAAATTTATGAGAAAATTATGAAGCAATACGAAGCTGCACACGAGAGGGATGAAGCTCTGTTAGAAATCATCAAGCAGTACATTTATGAGAGGAAGCAACCAAATATAGCATATGGCATTTGGGAAGCTGCTGATTTTGCACATTGAAACAACATTGAGAAAACATACAAGCTGATGAAAGCTCTACTCCAAGATTGCTACATTCCTGTGAAGAGACCTCAAGCAGAAGAAATCGAAGAAAAGCACAGCTTCTCTTTTAGAGAAGGCCAACTTAAGGAAAGCTTTGATAAAGAGAGAAGGATGAAGGATGAGCGCCTGGAAGAGATGAAGAATACTCTTGAGTCGAGAAACCATGAGGTTCTTGAACTCAAAGATATCATCAGGCTCAAAACCCAAGAGTATGAACTTCTCAAGCAGAAGTTCAAAGATTATGAAGTAGAAGTTCTTAGTGGAGATGGTATGAAGAGCACAGGAAATCTCAAATCAAACTCAAATTCAGGTCAGAGTAGCCCTAGGAAATCAAAATCTCAATCAAATAGAAAATCACTTGACAAGGCGATCAAGCCTTATATCAAAAACAAGAGGGAGGATGCCAATTTGCATCAAAGGATAACTTATCTTGAAGAAGAAAATAAACGACTCAAGATGATGAGCAATCAGAATGACCTGGTGAGGCAAAGCCAACCTGGTGGTTTTGAAGACAATCAAACTCATGAGAATGATGCAACTGTGATCATTGGAGGTGTGAGCCACACAGGGCTTAATGCTACAGAGGAGCATACTAGTTTTAAGAATGCCAAACTTGATATGAGCCCTATTCAAACCAGAGACAGGGATGCTAGCGCTGCTGATGAAACCATTCTGGGAGTATTTGACCCGACAGGTAGTAAGAACAGAAATAGCAACCGCAAACTAATGTTCGATGATCAAGATTATGCAAGCAAAGAGAATCTATCATCCTCCACTCCAGATATGAACTACACTAGAAGCAACAAAGAAAGTCTTTATAAATCAGAAGATGGTCTCATAGAGAATTTAAAGAATGACCTAAATGATAAAATGGGGATTATCGACCAATTGACCTCTCAAATTAATTACTTCACAAAGAACTCAAAGGATTACTCGAGCCCGAGGTTCAATGACCCTCAGAATACTACTAGGCATAGAATAAAGGATCAAGCAGAGGTCTTAGAGAATATCTCAGGCAGAATGATCAGGAATTTGGAGAACACAGAAGCAATCAATGTGTATTTTACTGATAAATTTGAGAATCTCCTGGAAGACCCCAGAGATGCCAACACTGAGCTCGAGAGGATTTCTTCCTTTGAGAAGGACACTTTGGAACAGGAGATCACAGATGACTCACAAATATTGGATACAATGGAAGCTCTGAACAAATTATTGCAAAAATCTATGAGAAATTTGGAGGATTTGTACACAAAACTTAGGAAATGCCAAGACCCAAAGCCAGATGATGTTGATCCAGAGCAAGAAAAGAGAATGCTGCACGTTAAATCTAACCATGAACTGTTTTTGATAAAGGACCTCACTGAAGAAGTCACCAGGATTATCAGAAACTCTAAGATTACGAAAGAAGAGTTTGACAGGGTTTATTTTTCAATTATTCCAAGAGGCCACCAATCTGAGTCAGACTTCAGTGAATTAGAAAGATCTGATTTCACTCAAAACAGGGACAAAATGACTAAAATAAGCTCTATAAAACATTTCATGGGGGATATGACAGGTTTTATTGAGCACCTGGAAAGACTTTTCCATGAGATCATTGACAGATCTACCACCATAATTGATAATGGAGATTTGATCGAGCAAAATTACATTAGACTTCTTGAGATTGCGAATGGCAAATCAGATCAAAAGAAAATGATCTGAGAACTTCATGCTCTTAATGAAGACAATCTGAGAACTATTATGAAGCTAAGGAAAGAATTGATTTGAACTAAGAAAGCCAATAATGACCAGAAATTACCCACATTGGAGTTAGATAAGGTAGATAGCAACAAAGGACCTCAGAGTGTTGTCATTCATGATACGGACTTTATTGATCAGCCAGGTAGAAGACACTTTTCTGCCTCTTTGCGTTCTAACATAGAGAAGGACACTTTCTTATCCAAGAAGTTACAGGAGGCTGATATTCATATTGATAAACTCAAAGACGCTTTGCAGGATAAAGACAGGGTGAACCAGGCACTCGAAAATGAAATAATGCGGAAAGACCAGACCATAAAACTTCTCAACCAGAACTATGAGAGCACTCATCACAGAGAGATTGACTCCAAGCAGGAGCTGAACCTTGAAATCCAGCGTCAGAGGAAGGAGTTCCAGAAACAAATAGAAGATCTGAACTGCCAGCTTGATAAGAAGTGCACTCAGGTTCAGGATTTGGTCAGTGAGTTATAAATCAAAAAGACAAAATGCTTAGAGACAACTCCTCCCAAAAACAAGGAGAATATGACTCACAAAAAGTTTTGGATGATAACAAGAGAATGTATCGCGAAATTACTGTGATAAAAGATGAGGCAAATAAATATAAATTGAGGATAAATCAGATGTATAATGAGCTAGACTCATATAAGGCTTCACTAGCTTCTTTAGAAAGCCAAAACAAACGTCTGAAAGCTCTGAATGATGAGCTCAACAAGACATTGGCTGATGAAAGAGTTTCCAACGAGAGAGGGAGAGACCGAGTTCATGACCAAATGTCAAAAATGTCGAATAAAGTCACTGAACTAGAAGAAGTCTCAGAATCGATGGAAAACTCTAAAAGAGATTTTATGAAGAAAAGCGACTATCTCATGCAAAGACTTCTAGATTTAAGGGATTACGTCATTTCTGGAGACCTTCAAACTTCAAGAGGAGGACCAGCTCCAGGAACTGTAAGGAGCAATCTTTCTCAAATGTTCAGCTCTGTTTCTCGCAATCCAATGGAGTTGAACAGTAATGATGACAGCGTTGAAGAAATTATAAGAGACATAAAGGCCAAGCTTGATGGATACAAATGTAAGGTGACAAATTATCAAACAGCTATCAATAGATTACAAGCTGAAAAGCAAAATGTAAGTCTAAAACTTCTAAAATTCATAGCTTTACCAAAGCGTAAACAAGCTGCAGGTTGATAAATCTCAAGGCTTTAGTACACCTGTGACTAAAGCTGCTAATTCATCAGTAAAGAAAAGCTCATTGGAAGAGCTTGATGATAAACCAAATCAAAAAGAGGGCCAAAAGACTGATGCTATGGTTGAATACCTGCGGACTGAGATCTCTCATCTCCGTAAGAAAGTCAGTACGTCCTATGATCTCCATTAACTTCAAATTTTTCTACAAGGTCAAAAATTTTCTTGCTAACTTCTATTCTGTTAAAGTTTTGGCTCAAAATAATCTATAGGTCAAAATTTGTTAACGAAGGAACAAACCTCAGACATCGAGGAAAAGGCAGCCCAATTTGGACAATTTATGAGCGAGATTTATAGGCCAGGAAAGGACCTGATCTACCAGTTATGAACTGACCCTCACCTTTCAGAATCCTTCTTTTATAAGGAAGGCGCTGCTTTTAAGGGTATGGATCCCAAGTTTTGCCTCGATGTAGCCAAGATTTTTGATATTTCTAATGAAAAGATCGTTGATTTACGCACAGTTTTGGATCATAAAGAGCAGGTTATAAGAGAGCTTGACCGTAAAGTTATTGAGCTACGCATGAAATTTACTCAGCAAGAGCAAGCTAAGAAGGAAGCAGAAAGCACTTATAACCTCAAAGTCAAGGAAAATTTCCAGGGATTGGATCAACAGTGCAGAAATTTTGCATCAAATTTGAAAGTTCTATCAGCTAAGTATGAGGAAGAGAAGAAGAAGTGCAGCCGTTTAGATGAAGAAAATGTGTATCTCAAGAAAACCCTAAAATCCTCTCAAAAAGACCTAGATGACCACAACATTCTCAAATCCAACTTCGAAGCCCGCCTGAAAATAGCTAAGGAAGAAGGCATGCGCCAAGGTAGATGAGAAGGAATCATGGACAGTAAAATGAACGAATACATCACAAAGTACAAGCAAGACATCGAGCAGCAGGCTGACCAAATAGTTGATCTAAAGCTAACCATTGAAAAACTGACTCACTCCAACACCAGGCTTAAGGCCCAAGTTGAAAAACTGAACGGCCAGATCTCAACAGAACGGAATCTTCAAAAGACCTTGAGTAAGGAAGTAGAACAACTTACTGTGGAAGTGCAGGCTCTGAAGAGAGAGCAGCAGGATTAGTATGATTTTTTGACGTTTTGAGGAGTTTTGGAGGGTTTTTGGATTTTGAAATTTTGAGGATTTTGAGTTTAATAAGGGGCTTAGAGGAGAGGATGGATATTAGAGGGTGGATTAGTGAGAGAACTGAAGAGTTTGGAAATGGGGTGTATAATTTTCAGTAAAAGAGATAAGAAGAGGGGTTTTGGGGTTTTGGGGTTTTGGGGTTTTGGGG